GTGAATGCTTCTGGAAAATTAGGGTTGGCGACTTGGGGGGGGACAATCCGCTGCCCTTATCCCCTAGCATAAAGCATATAAATTATTCTTGTTGCGACATCCGGTAATAAGGTATACCGTTTCGCCGTTGGTATATACCGTTTATTATTCGGTATTACCGATACCATTTTATGTCTACTTAATACTGATGCCGATTCTAAACGGTATACCAAATTATCGATTACCACCCGTACCTCCAATTATGTAACGAGTAGACCGGAAGAGAGAAATGCAAAATGGGCCCTCAGTCCGAACAGAAAGCCTAGTGGAAACAGGGCCCAATAAAAGATAAGTGGGGCCAAAAAAAGTGGTTTGAGATTTAATGATGGAATCGAGTTTAACCAGTTCAAGTTGGTTTTAACATAATATGTTAAAAAAAGCTAATACCAAATAGATTATGCATATATTTAGTATATTATAAAACAAACTCTCTAATCTATACTTATACATTACCAAATTATTTCTTCAAAGAAATATATATTACAAAATTATCAATCCTCATCTTCAAATCCATTTTTGACTGACTTAATCCTGTTTTGAGTTTTTCCAGAACCGTCCAACCAGAGTGTATTCTAACCAAGGTTGTCAAACCTGTTTATACCGTTGTACCGATGTAGCGAGTGAAATAGTTCTACTGGTGGTACAACCAACTTGTGCCGATTCATACCACTCTAACAAAATAAGAAAAATGTGAATAACCATTAACATAATTATTTAAATATAATATTTAAATGAATAAGTAAACTCATACTTGAATTCAGCAAATAACACCAATTTTTAACTTTTAAATTCATAAAATAAATTATAAATTATTTTTTTAATTAAGTACATTCACTAAAACGATGTCATTTTACTTAAAAGTCTTAAATCGATCATGCCGGTCATACCAGTGGTGTTCATACCGATTTCATGACAGGTATCAGTTGAACCAGGTTCATCAACTGACATGCCAAAAAATGACAACTATGATTCCAACAGTTTTTATGACTGGTTTTGGCTAGATTTAGTTGAACCAACCGCCCGAATACAAGTTTGTGGACCTGACAAATTACAACCCGACCCGTTGACCCGACCCGAAACCATCGGAAAACTAGAAATTTTTGTAACCCGAAATCCGAATGACGCGAACCCGATAACCCCTGATTTTTTGGGTCGGATTGGGTGGGTTAGCGGGTCGACCCGTTAGACCCATTCCATTTAATATATTACTCCCAAAATATGATAAAATCACTCATAAATTGGTGAGATGTTTAAAAAAAATCACAAGGATTTGAATGACATGTTTGGAGTTTAAGGATAATCAAATATCATGTGTTTCTTGTAGTAGTATTAATCTTGTGATTGTTTTTTGATGATTTTTGCAATTTATATTTCATTTCATTAACGTGGGAGCATTTGATAATTGATATGTGTTAGGTAAACTATTGTCATGCATATGTGAAAATTTGTGTTCTTTGAGAAAATATGAAGCATGTTTGATATTGTTTCTGAGAACGCTCATAACCCGAAATGACCTGTAACCCGACCCGAAACCGAATGGGTTGGGTCAATATTTGACCCGAGATAAGCCAACCAAACATGACCCGACCCGTAACCGAAGTTCTCAACCCGAAATTACCCAACCCGATTGCCAGGTCTACAAGTTTGACAACTTTGGTGGGAGGACAAAGAAAAGAGGCCAGCCATCCTTCTTGGCGGAGGATAAGATCACTTAATCAGTATAAGCTATGAAGTGATATCGAAACCATCTCCGTCGTCATGCTGACACTGGCGCCATGACCAACGGCCTACTGAACTCTTCTTGGACCAAGAAGCCCACTTCAATCCAATTCTACTACCTCCATATAGGTGTCAATCGGGCGGGTTCGGGCGGGTTCGGGTCGGGTTCAGTCGGGTCGCGGGTTAATCGGGTTGCGGGTCAAACGGGTTGCGGGTCAAGCGGGTTCGGGTTGATCGGGTTGCGGGTTGATCGGGTTGCGGGTTGATCGGGTTCGGGTTGATCGGGTTGCGGATTAGTCGGGTTACGGGTTGATCGGGTTGCGGATCAATCGGGTTCGGGTTGATCGGATTGCGGGTTACAACAGGTCGGGTTGCGGGTTGTTCGGTCCACAGCATCGAGTTTTTTTTTTTTAATTAGTTATTACACTTTTTTTTTTGAGGGAGTTATTACACTAATTTAAAACAAACTCACCGATCACCATATTGCAATGAATAAAACATGAATGTACATTGTTAAACAAATGAATGACTAGATTTTGCTTGAATATATCATAAACAAGTTTGATGTTGCTAGTTGTTGGTACCTTGTAGAGGATTCATTAAGGTTACAGAACCAACATAAATAAATAGTTGAACAACAAGAAATTAAAAAGCTGACAACTTGTTTGATCATAAACATGTGAAAATATATTTATAATGCATTGGAGTATATTTTTATTACTGTATAATAACTGCAATTTTTAATTACAATAATCTGAATAATGAAATAGATTATACCATTCATAATATAATAATTGTTTCTTACAACAAAATTACAATTCTAAAATGGAAAAACTTATGATTCACTTCAACTACAATCGTTGGTATCTTTTTCTCTATCTTCACTATAATCCACATCTTGTTCTCAAATATTTGGGGTTTATAAAATCAAATTAAGATGTACATTTGAATATGATATATTTAAGATGTACATTCACAAGTTAAATTAATTGTTAAAATCAAATTAATTAATAAACTATAAAAAAACAAAATATCTATCACAAAGCATAATCATGAAGAAACCCTAACCCTAAACCCTAAACCCTAACCCTATAACACCATTTTAAATCTGAAACCTAAAACTAACCTGAACCATCAACCATACATTATCCTAAATCACAACATTAAGTAATTAACCCTAAAACTAACCTCAACCCTTAACCATAATTCCATAACCCAAACATGCAAACAATGAACTCTAAACCATGACCCTATACGGCTATACCCTATACTATAGTTATATGTTATGAAATTGTTGGAATAAGCTACAATGTATGTTATGTGAAGAATGTAAGTTGAGTCAATTTTATATTCGGTTATTGAGAAGAATATATGTCCTATGACTCCAAACTCTAAACCACGAGTCAACTACCGTACGTATACCCTATGCACTAACCTTAAACCATGAACTATAGTTATGTATTATGAAATTGTTGGTTATTGAGAAGAACATATGTCATACGACTCCAAACGTTTAATATCCGTATTTAATGAAATGAATTATTAACTTTACTATTTTTACATATTGATTTATTTATAAAAGTAATTAGTTTTACATATTTATAACCATTAACGTACTATTAAACGTAACATTACATAAGAGACGAAGTATAATACCAGTAAGTATTTTATATGTAACTTTCTCGTACCATATTTTACTAACTATGCTATACATTAAGTGAATTTTATATATTATTAACTTTACTATTTTTACAGATTGATTTATTTATAAAAGTAATTAGTTTTATATATTTATTATTATTAACGTACTATTAAATGTACATTACCTAAGAGACGAAGTATAATACCCGTAAGTATTTTATACGTAACTTTCTCGTACCATATTTTACTGTGATTAACCGAAAATTTGATTGCCGAGAATTTGATTGCTGAAAATTTGGCTCCAAAATCCAAAAAGTTTGCATCCGCCGAAAATTTTGACTTCACAATCCTATAATTTGGCGCTATTGGAACTTTTGACTTCAGAAACCAAAAAGTTTAGGCGCTACTCGAAAATTTTGGCTTCATAAACTTGAAATTTTGGCGCTCTCACAAGCAATTCCTTTTACAAAGCAAACTGAAATGCAGCAAAGCTTCACCTCCCCAGCCAAACTTCATTCCCAAACCGAAAAAGGAAAAAAGTGAAAAACTCAAATAGCTCGTGTTTATTTGTTCTTGAGAGTAAAAGAAACCCAGCCTCTTCATTTTCAATCTCAATCCTCATCTCCCTTACCCACCTAAACCTAAGCGTAAATATTCTCCAACCATCTCAATTTCTAATTCTTTTTCCAATCCCCTGCCAATCTCTTCCCATTGAGCAATTGCCCTGAAGATCATTATTGGCTGCTCAATCAGCCATTCACCAACACACACAAACCCTCCCATCTTATTTTCCACCACCTCCGCCTCGCATAAGCGACAACCATCGCCTCCCAAAGCTTTGTGAGACGCTCTTTTCTCAGGCAGGTGCGTATGCTGTCACCGCCCCTTCTCCTGCACTTTCTCGTATTTCATTCCCGACCCTTCTTCTCGGTGCCTCTTTAAGGTCCAGTGTTCACTCCTCATCCTTGTTCTGAAGATCCGGATGGTTTGGTCTCAATTCTATCCTTTAATTTTGGAGTTGGGGGTGAAATTTTGGCAGGGGTGAATTTAGGGTTTGTAACTTATCAAATTGTAGATTTTGATTTTTTTGTACTGAACCTTTCTCCTTTCCAATTCCTCTGTTCTTTCCCTTAGATGTTAGTGCCTCATACTTAGTAGCATGCGGCGTGTCTTAAAATATCCATTGTTCAGGTCTAATAGCTGTCGGAAATTGCAAGATAAAAATATCCCCTTGATGAAACACGTCTTCTTCATGAGCATCAACGTTTGAGGTTCTGAAAATGCAGTCAAATTCATTGTTGATCAGGTTACATAACTTAGCGAAGGGCTTCTGAAACTATTAGTACTGGGATTAAACTTTAGTCATGCTGTTGGCTGCAGGGATGGAGCTGCTACTGTCTGGATCTGCTGATGTTGCTAGGGTTGCAGCTGTAGGGATCTGCTACTGTTGAAACTGCTGTCACTAGGAAACGAAACCTTTTCTGAGCCTTGTTGGAGTAAGGCATGTGTGTGTTCTTTTCATTTAGTGGGGTTTTCTAACTAACTCATTTGGAGCAGACTGACCCGACTATGGTTGTGCTCAATTGGAGCTTCCACCATAGATTGAAATGGGTTAGTAGGCATTGGTTTTTGGGTTGACGATTTGGAAATGCTAAAGTCGATGTCTTTTGGACTTTGTACTGGTATGAAGTGTAGAAGTGGGTTAGTAGGCATTGGTTTTTGGTTTGACGAGAAGCAATCTACTAGCTGAAGTGTAGAAGTCAGGTTGTTTTCATCATTAGTACAAATTGCAACTGTCATATTTTATTTAGCTCTAGTTTATTGGGCCAATGGCTTACTTGTTTGGTTTTTCCATGGCTTGTAGTTTCATAGAGATGTACCTAAGGGCACCTGTAGCAAGTGAAGAACCCCAGGTAAATGATTGGATTAAAGTGCGACAAATTGACAATAGAAAACCGGATCCTACTTCCTTGTTATGTTACTAGGGTGTAGCTTCTACTCCTCTGTTTTCTCTTGGCTTCTTGGGCTGGACAAGTGTTCATATTGCTTCAGCAGTTGAGTTTGCTAAATAGAAGTAACTTTTAGCTCATTTGAATAATGTTTATAAGGTGGAAAACGCTTGAAGGTCTCCAATCCTTTGAGGAGGGGAGAATCAGCAGCAAAATTATGGAACTGATGAAGAAAAGGCAGATCTGAAAATTATAGTAACAGAGCAAGGAAATTTTATTTCATAGATTTGTAATGGGTTCTCATTGGGTCGTAGCTTAATGCTACAAAAATAAGTTCCTTTAATTGTATGTTAATTACCAATGATCAATGAATGATATTTGTATCGGCTGTATTGACATTAATGTTAGAATCTTATGTTACAAGAGGTTGTCTTTTCAATTTATATGTTAATATATGTATATTGGAAATACACAGGATTTCCCATGGTTAAAGGACCTTTTTCTTGTAGTGCAAGTAAACCTTTGTTCTTGGTTGGAAAGATGAAAAAATAATAGGGCAAGTCAAGTAAACTTTATATATATTATTTACATATAATATTTATGCACAAAAATATATTATGTAGTATTATTCGTGCCAATCGGGCGGGTTCGGTTTAGTCGGGTTACGGGCCAAGCGGGTTGCGGGTCAAGCGGGTTGCGGGTTAAGCGGGTTGCGGGTCAATCGGGTTTGGGTCAAGCGGGTTGCGGGTCAAGCGGGTTGCGGGTTACGCGGGTTGCGGGTCAAGCAGATTGCGGGTTGGGCGGGTTGCGGGTCTTTGACTTTTAGTCCAATCGGGTTGCGGGCGGATCACGGATCGGGTTGGTTGGGCGGGTTACTCGGGTCGGGTCATGTTTTGACACCTATATACCTCCACTACTCTCTCTTTGTACTTCTCAGGGTTCCTTCCAAAGTTTCACACCCAACTCCCTGGTCATCATCTGTAATAAAAAAAAAATTCCCTGTAGTTATTATTAGCAAACTAAACGGTATATGATTTATCATTGAACATCTTTCAACAATTTAAATTATTGGGATCAACTAGTTTTTGACATGATATCAAAACCGTCACATATCAAAACCTTCTGTGACGGAGAGATCTTTCTTTTTGAATCTCGATGACCTCATCTATTTGGTTTAGTTCTTGTTAGTAATTGTTGTATTGTTTTTTTTTTTTCACATTCGTCCTAAGACTTAGGAATAATGGAGTCTACAAATGTAACATGTCTCTTTTATATTCTCCACATAAACGTTTGTGCTAGTAGGCATAAATCTTAGGTTGACTGAAACAGTCTGTTCTGTTCACCAAAACCCCTCGAACCACTACTAGAGATGGCAATGGGTCGGGTTGGGTCAAACCCAAACCCATGGGTTTATCCGTGAGAAAAACTCGGGGTAAAACCCACTGGGTTTGAAAAACTCAAACCCAACCCGCTGGGTATCCGCGGGTTCATGGGTACTCACGGATTTTTGTCGTAAAAAATTTACAATAACTAGTTCCTATCAAATTAAGTTAAATATTAATCTCTCAATACAAATTATCCATATATAAAACACCGTTCTAGAAAATTCAAACAAATCACAAATTAACTATACAAATTGTTCAACATCAATCTAGAAAACTCAAGAAAATTGAAGCAAATCACAAATTATCCATAAATAACATGATTAATTGAAAGCTTCTTCCTTTCAATTAAGTTTCTTCACTCTACACTCGATAACATCAACTTCATTCTACACAATTAAAAAGAAAAAATTAAACATGTCTCCACAAATATAAATAAGATTAGTTGTTTAGAATATTAAATATACCGAGAAAATTAATTACATGAGTGTGGTCGGGTACCCATGGGTCGGGTTTACCTAAACCCAAACTCAACCCAGTGAATAGTGAATTGGTTTAAACCTAAACCCGGTCCAAAACCCGTCAACACGGATTTTACCCGCGTTGACCAGGTTGGGTCGGGTGGGTACTCGTAAGTTCGGATTTTGTTGCCATCCCTAACCACTACTGATGAATTTGCTAATGTAATTGATTTGCTATTGATCGAATGCTTGATTGTTACAGATGGTTTCTACTCTACTTATACAAGAAGAAAGACAATAAACAATAACAAGGACCATGCTGGAATATGGGTGTTGTCAGGAGTAGTATGGGTGCAGCATGGGATTTCTGAAGTAGTATGGGTATACTGTTGCAACTGTCTGGTGCAGGTGAATAAATGGTGATGGTATGGTGGATGGTGGTGAATGCTGTAACACACAACATTGATGATTTCCTTCACTCCCCCTCAAACAAAGACATGAATGTCAAGAATGTCGAGTTTGAAAAGAGAAGTTGAATGTCATCTTGAGTGAGGTTGATTTGGAGACTGCTGACTATGTTTCTCCGAGAAACTTGATAGACAGATCGACACATTTGACGTTGTGATCGATCTGATGACTGAACTGGTCGACCGGATGACTGAACCAGTCGACTGATCTGTGTTGATTATGTTGATTCCCTATTCTCCCCCTCAACCTGGAGCATGAACACCGTGAATGCCCAGGTTGAAAGGTGATGAATAATTGGTCTTAGCCCAATAATAAACACCGAGGGGTCAAACTTTTCTAGGATCATTTCTTCCATTTGAAGCGCCGAGGGGACGATTTCTTCTTTGATCGTACAACCGTCTAAAAACGCCATGGGAACGATCTGATCGGGAGTGCCTCGTGAAGCTGAGGGGCCAATCTTTTCTTGGGTTGTATATGCCTTTTGGACGTCGAGGGGCCGATCTCTTCTTGGATCAGATAACCGTCTAAAAACGTCAAGGTAACAACCTGATCGGAGAAACCTCGCACAGTGGTTTGACAATCATTGCATACATAAGCTCTCTTTATCTCCAACAGTGGCTATTGAAGAGATGACCAACACTTGGGTCGTTTATCTTCGCTACCATGACATTGTTGGTGATAATTTGCTTTCTTGCCTGCAAACTGAAACTTGCCACTAACTGGGGGGACATAAGAACCAATGACGACTTGTGATATTGCAAATCGCTGGCAGCAGCTGAAATGGTCCTTTAAAAGCAGACTTAAAAGGATCGATTGTTCTGAGTCAAAGCCCAAGTGATTGTTTGAGTTTTGAAAGCCCAACAAATGGGTCTGGACGTGAGAATTGATGATGGACCTAGGTGAAAATGGTGGAGAGAGTACCATTCTTTCTTTGGTCCCGCCCGATGGGGAAATGGAAACTCCATCGTGGAACCTTGGGTAATCCGCCGCTCCTCTCTGTTTCTTTCTCTCTCTTTTTTTACAAGGGCCTTTATTCCCTTTCCTTCTTTCACGACAAATAGAGAAGTCGGACACCTCTCAGTCTGCTTCTTTCTCCATCGCCCTTTATCCTTCTCTTCTATCTCGACCAGCGGAGACCGGATTCACAGCCGGCGACGATGATATATGGCGAGATTTTCGACGGCGACTGACGAAGGCTGGAACAGCGGCGGATCCAGGACATAAGAGAGCACTAGGCCGCATTTGAATAGAATATTAGATACCATAAATAAAAATATATAATAATATAGTTTTCATTACAATGCCAATTGTACAAGAAGATCTTTTAATTTAACAAATTCATCAATAATATAATCTCCATCCATACTAATAATATACTCTTTTTCAAAGAAAATAACTAAGTAATCAACGAGAAATTCATCGCTCATTTTGTTGCACAAATCAATGTTCATGTTCCATTGCTGAAAATATCATCTCCATGGTAGTTGTTGAAAGTTGAAACGGCTAGGTCAACACTAGACAAATCAACCGACAAATCAATTTGTATTGTGTGTCCATCCATGTTTGACTATTTCCTCCAGCTTCTCCAATAATTTTGCAAGAGAAGAAACTTCATCTTCCTCACATGAGTAGTGCATTCTCCAAAGAATGCATCTCATAGCCTTCAAAGTCTCGAGGCTAAACTCTTGAGCAAGTTTGTAAATATTTTCTTCATCAAAACACCAGAAAGAACGTTTAGAATCTAGTACCCCACTCAATTGAGGCAATCTAAACGATAACTCAGCAAGTTTGTAAATATTTTCTTAATCAAAAGAATGGAAAGAAAACAAGCTCGACGGGCTGGCAGAGAAATCCATTTTGGGTCTGCTCGTCTCCTCGTTCTTGTTTTGTTTTGGGGGGGTTGAGAAATTTTTCGAATTTTGCAAGGAAGGGTGTGCTTTAGTTTAGAGTTTTTTATTTTATTTTAATGAAACTTTATACTTTTAGGTTTTCATGTCTTTTTTCAAATAAAATCATTTGGGATATAAAAAATTTAGTATAAATTTAGAGTGATGGTTTGGATATGTTCATATGAACCATTTTCCTAGTTACACAAAATCCTATTATCAAATAAAACTAGACAAGATTTTAGAGTGATGGTTTGGATATGTTCATATGAACCATTTTCCACTGGATTCGGAGGAGGGCTGGGCCGGGGCCTGGGTTGGCCCAGTCCTGGATCCGCCACTGGACTTCTGAGAAGCGGATCTGCGGCAGTGACCAGCACCGTGGTCATTGATTGATGCGACGACTGGTGACCCGGTATCGAGTTTTGGCATACGAATGCTCCGGCTTCTTCCTCTCGCCGATTTGGACGGTGACTCTTGATGGCCAAGATCGATGGCGGCGGTAACTCACGGAGACAAGTTGTTGGCGACGATGATGCCGCCGTGTCGTTGGCGGGAGCTTCTTGATGCTCAGTGACAACGAGCTGGGTGGATGATTCAAATCGACAGATCTATTACTTCCACCGCCTCCCTCTTATAAATCGTCTCTGCTCTTTTCCCGTCGGAGTTCTGGTTTCGGCGCCGGTGCCCCTCGATTGACAACGTTGGCTCGATCTGGAATTTGTAGGAGGTCCGGTGGTGACCGTCGTGGTGACACAACAGCCGGCCAGAGAATGGTACTATGGCGCGA